TATTATCATGCGGTTTTTTTTATAAAAGAAAAATTATATTTTTCACTAGAGGATAAAAAAAAAAAAGAAGAAAGAAAGTGTGAATCAATCTAAAAAACTCAAACTCTATATATTCTACAAGTTCTATTCGTCAACGATTAGAATATTATATTCTAAAAATCGGAGAAAAAACACACTATCAGCTAAACGTATTGATATTTATTATACTATTTACTAAACAAAAGAAGGTACGACATTAATGTTTTCTTCTTGAATAAAAAAAAAAAAAAATTAATAAAAATAAATCTAATAGTAGTAGAAAAATTTATTGATCAATCTCGATATATTATAACGAAGTCTATAAGAGTCGAGTGATTCTTTTCCATTTCAAGTAGTTTGATATTTTTTCACTTCAGGGTTAAATTAACTGTTTTCTTTGTAATTAAGAGGAAATGAGATCGAACTAACGAATTTTATTGATAAATTTTCGAATTTGAAAAGTTGAAAAACACGTTCTTTTGTTTTATTAGTATTATTAGAGTTGCTAATAATCTTAGATCAACTTTTTTATTTTAATTATAACAGAATAAAAAAGAAGATTTCATTGATTTTAATTTCTTTTTTTTTTCAGCAGTTATTCCATTCCAAACAACAATAATGGATGATCGTGGTGATCGTAGAGGTTATCGTGATACGGATAGAGATCGAGATGATTCTCGACGACAAGATGATTATCGTCGAGATCAATCTGGAATTAGTGCTTCTTCTCAACAAGTTACTAACATTAAGGATGAATATGATTCGTCTTATTATCGTTCAGCAATTGGTCCAAGATCATCAAGCGTGTCTGCAAAAAAAACAATACCAGCCTCAAGTATTGTTATGGAACGATTTTATGCATATGGTGCAGGTGGAATTCCTTTAAAACCTGGATCAAAATCAGCTGCAGTTGTTGCAATTAAGTAAGAATTTTAACTTGACATCTGTTGAGAGAAAATAATATTTTGAAAAACAAAAAATTTTTAATATGGATAAAAAAACGTATTGTCTGAGACTAGGAAAAAGTGTTGAATATTAAATAAAATGTGCGACTGTATTAATAGTTTGTATATCAATATCACCCTACATATCTAATATTACAACTACGAAAAACATGTAAATAGATCTGTTAATGAGACATTTATATTCTACAATATACATTCTTCAACAACATAGAAATACTATAGATGTGATGTTGAGCAACTGTAAAAGAAGGTGAAGAATTCCTACTGTGCATGACAGAACATCTGCTATGAACTTGTCTTGTTTTTACTATTCTTATATTTGGTATCATTTCATGCAAATACTTACCCAAACATTGTCAGTGACCAGAACAAATGATGCTATAGTCAAAGAAAAAAAGCCTTAATCATACTCTCCAATCTAACAACAATAGAGTTTCTTTTCTAAATATTGTATTAATTAGTATTTCTTTAACTCAAAGGTTTCAGTTGATTAAAATTAAGACTAAAGCTTCTGGCAATAAACGCATAATACTTCAATACAAGTGCGATTTTAAAAATAATTATGTAGAAAGCTTTTATAGGAAAATCAAATACAATTGGCGTGTAGTAGTTTGCTCATTTTTTCAACAGTACTTCATTCTTTACTGGATGTTACCATGTTTTTAGAGAAAATCGTGAACGTGAAAAGCGTGAATTAGGTCAATTAAACGATCGTTTTGCAAGTTACATTGAACGTGTGCGCTATTTAGAAGCACAAAATAAAAAATTACAATTAGAACTTGACCATTTACGGTAATTATATAATATTAACCGTTCAATTACTCAAAATATTCCTATTGGATATGTTTAGAGGTAAATGGGGACAACAGACATCAAAAGTGAAGGAGATGTACGAAGTAGAGATTCAAGAAGCGCGTCGAATTATTGATGAAACTGCAAAGGTTATTTGACAAATTTTAATGTATTTTTAAAAATAAAGGTGTCTATTTTAATTAGGACCGTGCCACAGCTGAATTGCGTGCCAAAAGGGCAGAAGAGGATACAAAAAATTATAGAGACAAGTAAGTATCTCTCTCTCTAACGAGACATCATTACCTTCAATATTTCTTAATTTTATTTCAGATATGAAACACTATTAGCTGGTCGTGACTCCGATCGTCAGAAAATTGACGTATTACAAAAACAACTGGCTGATAATGAAGCTGATTTAAATTTATTTCGACGTCGATTAGGTATATTATTCACTTCTTAATGCCTATGTTAATTATCCTCATAGATATATATTTTGTTTTATAATAGCCGACTTAGAAGATGAGAGTAAACGATATCGTCTTGAATCGCAAAAGCTCATCTCAGATATTCAACGTATAACACAAGAATTAGATCAAGAAACAATATCACGTGTACAGTTAGAAAATGAAAAACAAAGTTTAGAAGAGGAAATTAACTTTCTAAAACAAATACATGTTCAAGAAATTGAAGAATTAAAACAGATAAATTTAACAGGGTGAGTAAAAAATGTTCATCTATATACAAATTTAAACATTAATAATAATATTGTTCGATTTAGAACGGCACTTGATCCATCTAATTTTTTCAAACATGAATTGTCGAATGCTATAAGAGATATTAGAGAAGAATACGAACAATTGAATAATCAACAACGAACAGAATTAGAATCATGGTACCGAATCAAAGTAAGTGTTGTTCAAAAATAAAAAAGTGAATAACTTTCAACATTTATTAAATTTATTATACGTTACAGGTTACACAAGCGGTAAGATATGTGTTCAAAGTGTAAAAGTATCGTTTTCCTTGTCTTGTTTGTACTTGTCAAAGTCAGATGCATGAATTTCACACATTAAATGGAAGAAATATATTGAACTACAAGCGATCTTTGAATAATTCAAGCGAGGAAAAATCTCCGAAGTGTTTGTTTTTGTCTTGCTTATTATCAGTTTGAGGTTTTGATGTATTTATAAAATACGTGCTTAGTCAAATTTTTTGTGAATCTGTTAGACTTGTTTTGGGGTTTTACATATTTTTGTTGATATATAAGGAATAATTTATTAGTCAATATCTGCGTACTTTGTTTTTCTAGGTTCAAGAAGTTCAAGCTCGACGTGCAATTGAAGCACCTGAAAATATTCGTGAACGGGAGGAAGTAAAAAAATTACGTACGCTTGTTACTGATTCAAGGAAAGATATCGGAATAGTGAAACAAAGGGTATGTATTGTTACATATTTAATACTTTTCTCTCAAGGCGTATTTGGAGTATTTTTTTCTTATTTTTGCGAGAGTAGTAAAATTTGATAAAGATGATTATTATTTTTAATTTATTTGAAATTTTTATTAGAATGCTGAACTTGAAAATCGTATCCAAGAATTAGAAGAATTAGTACAAATTGAAAGACGAGATGCCGTACAAACAGCAAGCGAGCGTGACAGAGAAATTCAAGAATTAAGAGCAAGATTAGAGGACTTAGGAAAAGATTATGGTAAGACTATATACACCTTAATTTTTTCATAACTAAAATGCAATTATTTATTTTAGATGAGCTAATAACGACAAAATCTTCGCTGGATGCCGAAATAGCCATATACAGAAAACTTTTAGAAGGAGAGGAAAATAGGTTCGAATAACTGGTGATTAATTTTCAAACATGCACTAAGAATGTCATATATTATTTTTAGAGAAGGACTCAAGCAAGTGGTTGAAAATGTTGAAGAACGGGCTCGAGCCGATTTTGCAGCATCAGGAGGAATTAGTGGAGGTGGTGGTGGAGGCGGGGGTGGTAGCGGTGGTGGCGGTGGTGGTATTGGTGGAGGTAGCAGTGGCAATATTGGTGGCTCGTCATATTCCTATTCGAGATCATATCGTACAACGAGTGGTGGCCAAGCAGGTGCGTTTTAATCTTCTGTCTGCATGGTTGAGTAATGATTGTGCTTATTGTCACTTTAACCTGCATGCATGCAATAGTAGACTACTTAGTATTGTATACATTATTCATTTCTATCTTCTGTTTCTTTCCAAACTAAAAAATACACAGTTCTATGTCAGCAATAAGCATATTAATTTTTTCCTAGTGTGGTTGATTGTACGTGAAAACGTATCCTATGTTTAGTCAACCTTGATCAATAATCCACAAGTTCTAATGAAAAAAAGAAAAAAAATGTTGTCAAATTAACACACTGACTGCCAATGTATCACCGGTGATACATCTGGCTTTGTTTTTTTTTGCTCTGGCAGTCAACGTGTTAAGAGTGATATTGAAATTCTAATAAATAAAAGCGATCACGCATACCAAGACTCATTCTGAAGTCAACAATACTCTCGATAGTATTATACGTAGGCTAGATGCTCAAATCTTTCTTTTCTATTCTTATCAAAACATGACATTATATGCGTGTGTACCTAATAATTCATTTTTAGAAATTAACCGTGAAAGAGAGATTATTTCTACACTATCTTACTATGAACTTACGTAGATTCCTTCACATCCAGTCTAAAAATACAAATAACATTCATCATACTGATTAACTTCGTTTCTTAACTAAAGATTGAAAGAACGATGAGATAAACCGTATTGTTAGTGGAGGGGTAGGACACAGTGAGCATTTTTTTGCATAGTACGCGAACACCAAAATTTTTTACGAATAAATGTCTTTTTAACAGATAGTTATTATTCCAGACTTATTTAAGACATTTTGCAAGAGGTTGTTTTTCTCTATAAATTGGGCTTTAAAACTTCACACCAAAAATTTCGATCGCTATTCAAGTCAAAACACATGTTGTCTTATATATACTTCGATGTAGTTTGACGTGCTGACTTCAAAGTTAATAATTCTTTCGTCAAAATAACTACTCAGAACGTTTTATTCGTAGTATTAGGCGCCCCGCATTTCATTAATTACTCAGAAAGAAATTCTTTTGCTTCTTGCTACATTTTT